AGGTGCGTTCTACATGGTCTCCCTGAAAACAAGACCAAGTTGCGACAACGAGGTCAACCCACTTCTTTTTGACTTTAAGTTAAATTGAAACTTTTGCAAGAATGAGTTTTAGCTTTGAGGCTACCTGTCCAGTTGTATGATGCAGACAAGCTGGGCTCGCTTTTACTCGAAACGAGGGAGGATGTCTAATGGACTGTGTCATCTTGAATGTGGTATTAAAACCAAACGGCTGTACATCAACATCTTGCTAGATTGGCCTACAAATCTCTTCATCATGAAATCTTCATCATACGAAATGAAAGTCGCCACGATAATGCATCAGCAGATGCATATGACTTGGTGAATATGAAAATGTGCGGACATTTTTAGCACCAAAGCCGGCATCTTCTGTTTTTCGCAATGGGTGACAAGCCATCTGCTGCCTGTTTTCCTCGCTTCGGCGCCAGACAACTGAAAATATGTCCTCCAAGTGTAGCCGAGAGGTTGGCAGGCTTTCGGGCAAGTTGCCTTGAGTGGAGGCACACTGTGAATGCTGATATCTGGTGGATGTCACGTAGAATGCAATCTTTCCTGCTGGCTGGGAGCAATTCGTTTGACTCGAACCGTTTTTATTGTCATTCTGTATGTGGGTTTTTGCGCAAGTTATTTCATCCACCCGAACCGGGGCCAGCGGGGGCAGCAGAAGTACTGGCACAGCCGCCCGGGAATTGCAATATTGCATAATTGATAGCCGACAAGTCAATCAGGCGGGCGATTCTTGATGCCGGCCAAGATTGCTGCAAGACTGGCCTGGGAGCAAAGTGGCCAAGCTCTGTTCACATGGGCATTTAGGTACACAATTGGGCCACATACACGACGCCAGAGGGGAATGGAAGGAGGGACGCAAGGGCAGTCGGGCAGGCGGGAAGATGAAATTGAAATCGGCAGCCTCATTCACACCGTCCCGAGTCTCACATGAAACCAAGTGGGGCACTTTACTCTGACAGAAGGTCACCGCCTTCAAACGAGCTGGACACAATGCGAGGTGTGAACGGTGGTGGAGGCGGGCTTTCGGCAGAGGGGAAGAGGAGGAGAGGATTGTGTGTGTGAAAAATGGGTTGTATATGAGCAGCCAATATCGTAGCAAGAAGATCCCGGATTACTGAGAGTCGTCTGGCAGCAAAAACACACGAATCTTGTGACTAGCATCTGCCAGGGTTCGAAGATATGCCCATGTTGTCATGTCTTGTGCTCTTCTATCGAACCGGTATTTATGGTTTTTGTTCACTCACGAGACCCTGCAGTCCTCGAACGCCGCCAGATTTTTGGCACTTTTCATTCAGCGTTATTAGCAATCATTTGCTTCATCTAACTGTCAGATGTGTTGACTCTAGGTCGCAAAATGTGTTGACGCAGTGCTGGTAGAATTTTCACACAATCCTACACATAAGTCTCAGGATATCAGTGAAATTCACTTTGCCTTATTTCCCAAAAAGATATTCTCATCCAGTAGGAGACTTGGTTCCAACCTCGCCTGGGTTTTATCAACATCTTCATCTGGAATCGAGTATGTGAGATTGACTTTTGAGAAACAAGGTCATGTGAAGATGTGTTCTGACCTCATTTTCGCAACTTGGTCATGTTGTCAGGGCGACTTGGTTGGCTTTTTTGGCAAGCTGTAGCTTGGCGCAGGCGAAGCGTCTGAAAATGTACCAAGTCGACGTTGGAAAGCTTGGAAATATGCTACCTATTATAGCAGAGGACAAAGTATGTCCAAATAAGTCGCCCTGACAACATGACAAGTTGCGAAAACGAGGTCTTCGTATCTACGTTTAAGGCCAAGTGAAGTTCACCGGCATCTTGAGGCCTATACGTATCATCGTGCAACATTCTAATATCAATCCTTCATCACCTTATGCCATCCAGAATGAATACAACTTTCACTCAAGATGTACTGGTAGCTTCGATACCTTCTCAGACTGAATATGGTATTTAAGGGACGAATTGGTGTTGCCTTGCAATTAGCTACGCCCTGCAGCATACTTTACTAACTAACGTTGTGTAAGAATATATAATATATAATATAAATGTATAAGTTCACCTTTTACAAGCAAATTTTAGCATGTGTTAGAAGGCAAAATAAGCAAAGGTCCGGCACGAGGAACAATTTATCGTCCGATATCGCTCATGTGACCTTTTCTATGCCTGTACTCCACGGCGTTCCGCAGTCGCGATCTTGCCCAAGTCTCATCCAGCGGGATTCGAGCCCTGGAAGGTATCACATTTGCCATGTTACCGGGGCAATTTGACAAGACTACTTCACCATCGTGGTCATGAGCATTTCCAGCCTCCGAAAGTGGATTTGGTACATTCGCAAAGATTGACTTCTTTGAAGAAGACCCTGTTTGCTTTAGCTTAAAGCAGAGCACCATCGACAGACATGGCTTTACTGTCTTTCACGTTGTGAGGGTGTATTTGAGGCGTCTTGTCGCCGCCAAAGCAGGGTACAAATACGAGTGGGATACCCTCACCTGCCTGGCCAGCTGCCTTGTCCTGCGTGGGCACAGTCGACTGGGACGTACAATCCGTCTATCCACAGGCCGAGCTCTGCTAGTCGCTGGCCGCGAGTTCACAGGACTTCAAGTTAATTGCCTCCTCCATGTTCCCTTCTGTCCGGTTGTACGTGATAGTCGCATATTCGTCTCCCATGGGGCCTACTATTTGGTAATATTTGGCTTGAATTAACTTGCCACAGCGAATCGAGGCGAAGTGAAGTTGACTGGATTGATGACACCTTCGAGTCGGCAATACAGGCCGGGGACAAGTAAGCGAGGAGCGAGCGCAAAGCGGAGAAGAGGGGATTGCAGTTGAGTGAAATATTCATGTCATTAGTCAATTCTATGGCTCACCTTCTGCCCGGCTAATGTATTATGTGTGATGAGATGTATTCACCCAATTTCGTCTGAGGTGATGAAGGACTGGTAGTAGAATTTTCCCACAATT